CGTTTTCTGAGAGCGTTGACGACCGTTCCAGCTAGCCACAGCGGGCCCAGCGCGGAAAGAGCTCCGCTGCCCAGGCGTTCGCGCTGGAATCGCGGCCGCGTTGAAAGCGTGTGGAGCAGCGCTGCCGCGTGGCCACACAGGACCAAAGGCTAGCGCCGTCAGGAGGATAAGCAGCGCCAGCACCCCCCCAGGGCGCGGGCAGCGTCGCGCCATGCATGGACGCGTGATGCGTACCCAGCAGCTGCCGAGCTCGTTCCCGCGGAGCAGCAGTCGCGCCAAGACACGCTGGTGGCGGAGGCGACGGTGCCACGCAGGCGATCGCGTACGCCTCGCCGAGGGCGTTGCGCTCGGGGCAATGGTGTTCGAGGGATCGTGAGGTGATGATGATGGTGGTGGTGATGATGATGATGATGTTGATGCTGCTGCTGATGATGATGATGATGATGATGATGATGCTGATGACGATGATGGGGATGAGGATGAGGATGAGAAAGATGGGATGATGATGATGATGACGATGATGATGCTGATGCTGCTGATCATGATGACGATACTGTGATGATGGTGCTGCTGCTGCTGAAGGTGATGATGATGGGCATGACGATGATGATGATGATGATGATGATGATGATGATGATGATGATGATGATGATCATGCTGTTGGTGATGATGATGATGATCATGATGGTACTGATGATGATTATGATGGTGGTGATGACAATGACGATGACGCAGATGCTCGTGCTGATTCCGATGCTGTTGGTGATGATGATGATGGTGGTAGTGGTGGTGATGATGAAGACGGTGGTGTTGGTGTTGGTGATTATGATGAGGATGATGATGACGATAATGTTGATCTTGATGGTGATGGTGACGGTGATGCTGATGATGATGATGATGATGATGACGATGAGGAAATGCCGGTGTTGATGATAATGCTGCTGCTGATGCTGAAGCTAATGCTGGTGATGCTGGTGCTGATGCTGCTGATAATGATGCTGATGATGAGACTATGATGATGCTGATGCTGCTGGTGATGATGATGATGCTGCTGCTGATGATGATTATGATGATGCTGATGCTTATGCTGATTCTTATGCTGATGCTGCTGACAATGCTGGTGATACTGATGCTGATGCTGATGCTGATCGTTATGCTGATGCTGATGCGCATGCTTATGATGACGACGGTGATAACGATGATGATGCTGATGCTGCTGATAATGATGGTGATGATGATGACGATGCTGACAATGCGGATCATGAACATGCTGATGCTGATGATGATGCTGATGATGATGCTGATGCTGATGCAGCTGCTGCTGCTGATGATGATGATGATGACTCTGCTGGTAATGATGGAGATGAAGATGACAATGAAAGTGAAGATGATGATGATGATGATGATGATGATGATGATGCTGATGATGCTGATGATGATGATGATGATGATAGTGATGATGATGGTGATGATGGTGATGCTGAGTATGCCGATGATGACGATGACGATGCTGACGATGCTGATGATGAAAATGCTGATGCTGATTCTGAAGATGCCGATGCATATGCCGATGCTGATGCTGATGCTGATGATGCTGCTGCTGATGATGATGCTGGTGATGCTGAAGATTAATATGAAGAGGAAGATGAAGATGACGATGATGCTGATGATGACGATGATGATGATGACGATGATGCTGATGATATTGATGATGATGATGATGATGATGATGATGATGATGATGATGATGATGATGATGGTGATTCTGATGGTGATTCTGATGGTGATGGTGATGATGATGAAGATGATGATGCTGAAGCTGCTGATGATGATGATCATTATGATGATGACGATGACGGTGCTGACGATGCTGATGATCAAGATGCTGATGCTGATTCTGAAGATGCTGATGCATATGCCGATGCTGATGCTGATGATGATGCTGCTGCTGCTGATGATGCTGGTTATGATGAGACGGAGGTGAAGAGGAAACTGAAGATGATGATGATGATGATGATGATGCTGATGATGCTGATGATGCTGGTGATGATGATGATGATGATGACGATGATCATGATGATGCTGATGATAATGATACGGGTGATGATGATGATGATGATGGTGATGATGGCGATGAAGATGACGATGCTGATGATTAAGATGGTGATGCTGATGTTGATTCAGTATTCTTAGAATGATGATGATGATGATGATGATGATGATGATGATGATGATGGAAATGACGATGTTGATGATGATGGTGATGATGATTATGATTATGATTATGATGATGATGATGATGATGATGATGATGATGATGATGATGATGATGATGATGATGATGACGTTGATGATGATTATGATGATGATGATGATGACGATGATGATGCTGATGATGATGATGATGATGATGGTGGTGGTGGTGGTGATGATGATGATGATGCTGATGACGACGATGATTCTTCTTCTTCTTCTTATTATTTTTTTTAATAGTATGATTATTATTGCTACTATAATTCCTGTTTCTTTTATTTTTCTGGTGCCCTTCAGAATCGGGCCCTATCTTTCTAGAAGGCCTCTTGGACCTGGCGCCCGCGGAGAGGTCGCAGAGCCCCAAGACTTCGAGAGGCCTCGCGGGGCGATATCGGCCGTGCGCCCGCAGCTCGTAGAACGCCGACGTCACCGATGCATCGCCGATGGGGCGAGCTCCTCCGACCCCATCTGCTCCAAAGCCCTTCTGGGATGCTTTAGCACTCGAGCGAGAAGAAACAGCCTGACTATCAACATTCGGAGGCCCGCGCAGATGTCTGGGATCGGCGCTGGACCCTTCTCCCTGGCGCGCGGAGCGCACTGGGGGCGGCGCTGGAGGTGCCGCAAGGGGGGCTCCGGCGCGGGTCCAAGAAATCCGCGCGGAGCTCCGGCAGTTTGTGCTTATGGAGCTCGTTGTTCCCCCAGGTGTGCGGCCATGTGCACCCCAGGGGCGGTGCCCGCGTGGAGACATCTTACAGTAGACGCTCGGTGGCGGGCGCCTGCTGGCCATAGCGCTCGGGAAACTATGCTCTACAGGGTGGCTGTACTGCGTGTTCGGGTCGGACGCACGCTTCCAAGGATGGCACACAGTACTATCGAAGACCGATTTCTGACCACATCCACCTCTGGATCCTCGATTCTATGATAGGCCCTCGGGGGTGGAAGTGGGTAGTTTTTCCTTCCTCTGGGGCGGGGAAACTGCCCAACTCCACCTCTGGAAAACGCTTTTCGCAAGGCACCTCGGGAAGTGGGTGTCGTCAGAAATCGGTCTCCTATACTAGTGCAGTCAACCTGAATAGTAAGGATGGGCAACCTTCCCACGGGTACCCTTGCATCCCCGCCTCCTCGGTCCATGCTTCGCCGCTTTCGTCGGCCACGCTCCGCTCGAAAGGCTTTGACGTGGCCTTCCAAGGCCCTTGCATCCTTATCGCGCGTCCTTACTCTACTAGTTGTCTGTATGTCCTCGTGCGTCCCATGGGGGGTTCGAGCAGGTGGGGTCGGAGGATTGCGCTGCATCGCCGATGCATCGGCAATGCGGCTCGATGTGGAACCTGATTCTCTCCACGCCATCGTCGCCGAGGCATGGCCGACGTCGCCAAAGCCGCCGATACATCGGCGATGCGGCGCGATCCTCCGACCCCATCAACTCGGAACCCGTTTGGGCGGCTGCCAGGATGGTGTCGGGGGACAAATATCAGGGACAGCAAGGTTCAGGGAGGATCCGCCGCGACGCAGAAGAGCACCAAGGACGTCCGGATATTGCCCTGAGAGTGCCCCATGTACGGTCATACCGAGGTAGAAGGTCGAGGTCGGTTCGGGGAGGGCACCCTCGTGGTCCTCCGTGTCCGTTGGCTGCTCTTGCGCCTCCTGGGGAGGCTACCCTGGGATGCCCCGTGTGTTCTGGCCCGCGGAGGGCCTCATGCCCTCGAGGGCTGCCCTTCTGGCCCAGGGCCGACCGCAGACCGGACGGGGCCCCGAGGGATCCAAGGTGGCCAGACGGCATCGAGGAGGCAGCCAGGGCGGCTCGAGGCCCGTGTCGGGATGGCGCCCCCCCCCGCGGGAGGCGCGGCAGCGGCGGAGGGAGGAGGAGGAGGAGCGGGCGTCTCGGGAGGGGGACGGGCAACGACCTTTACCCAGGAGGGAGCAGAAGCACACGGAGGCACAGCTCATCGCCGACTCCCCAGAAAACAGGGGAAGATGTGGGAAGCGGGAGGGCGGAGGCGAACACCCAGAACATCTGGGGGAAAATGTGGGGAATCCTGTCGTTTGTGTGTGTGTGTGTGTATTTCTCTGGTGTGTCCCTGGGCCCCCTCCAGGAACGGGCAGCGACCTCGGCACGACAGCTCGGAGGCCCGCGCACGGACCTCCTGCATCGGGCCGCTGGGGCCCTGCCTGGCGCCGCCTCCTCCGCCGCGCCAGGAAGGGTGGGCTCCGGAGCCGATGCGAGAGATCCGCGCGGAGCTCCGAGCCTCCCTCCTCCCTTCCCCCTTCCCTCCTCCCTCCCTCCTCCCTCCTCCCTCCTCCCCTCCTCTCCCTCCCTCCTCCTCCCTCCTCCTCCTCCTCCTCCTCCCCTCCTCCTCCTCCTCCCTCCTCCTCCCTCCTCCTCCCTCTCCTCCCCCTCCTCCTCCTCCTCCTCCTCCTCCTCCCTCCTCCCTCCTCCTCCTCCCTCCCCTCCCTCCCCTCCTCCTCCCTCCTCCCCTCCTCCTTCTCCTCCCTCCTCCTCCCTCCTCCCTCCTCCCCCTCCTCCTCCTCCTCCTCCTCCTCCTCTCCCTCCTCCTCCTCCTCCTCCTCCTCCTCCTCCTCCTCCTCATCATCCTCGTGCTCCTCCTCCTCCTCCTCCTCCTTCTCCCTCTTCCCTCCTCCCTGTATGCTTATGCCATTGTTTGCTTCCCTGGGTCGACGCTGGTCCCGTCCCCCCCCCCCACTGGCGCGAGGAGCGTGCCAGGGGTCTGCGCCGGGGGCGCCGTCAGGGGTACCCGGCTGCAATCGGTTGGGCACGCAGGAGTCGTGGGAGCGTGGAGGCTCGATTCGCCGGCGTCAAGGACACGAGGCATGTGCCGCGTGTTCTTACACGGCCAGGGAATATTGCAGTGCGTAGCGCCATCTTCGTCTCAATCATGTCCTCGGGATGGTGCCTCAGTCGACCACCACCCAGCAGTTGCGGAGGAGGCTCTGTTTCGACAGGTTCCTCTACGCCAAGCGTCTTTTTGTGCTTTATTGCTGTCGCCAGGAGTGCGGAGCCGTCTCTCAATCATGTCCTCGAGCGTCGTCCCGGCTGCAAACAGCTGAAGTACCGCGCAGCAGAACGCGCCTTCTCTGAAGCTTCTATCGAAGGCGAAAGCTTTGTGGACTTCCTCCTCGCTTCTTATTTACCTTGAGCTCAGTGGAGCTCGGGTCGCTGGCTGCTCCAGAGGGGGTTTTCTCCTTGCCCTGTTTTATATCCCTCAACGGGCAACGATTTGCTTCGCTCCAACTAGCGCGTTCACTCCCAAGGGCAATTTTCAACAGGCCTTCCGCGGGGCCCGCCGCTTTCGACCCTTGCCGTATTCTACCAGCCCATCCCGAAACGATCCCCAGGCCAGCTGTCGGCAGAAGGGAAGTACAGTCAAACAGGACCATCATGACGAGCGGCGTTCCAGGAGCACCCTTGCTGCATCCTTGCATCTTTGGCCAGTCCTCAGCTGTTCTCGCTCGCCGTTTTTGCTCCTTACCGCGCATCCCTGTCGTCCTGTCGCGCCGTACGGTTCACTTCGCTCGGGAGCTCCCGAACGGAGAGAATCCCACCCTCCCCCTTAGAAATCGTGTGGGGTAGGGGTAGGGTTTTCATGTGGCCCCTTACTCCATGGTGTCCCATCTAGGCCTCCCAGATGGGTCCGAGCAGATGGGGTCGGAGGATCGCGCCGCATCGCCGATAAAGCGGCGATGCGGCTCCATGTGGAGACCGTGTCTCCCCGCGACGGCGTCGCCGATGCACCGCCGACGCCAGCGATGCATCGCCGATGCATTGGCGATGCATCGCCGATGTATTGGCGATGCGGCGCGATCCTCCGACCCCATTTGCTCGGACCCCATCTAGGAGGCCTCTAGTGCCCCAAGAGGGCTACAAGACTGCCCAGGATTGCCTCGAGGCGGTCCAGGGATCCCCTTCGACGTTCCAGGAGGGGCCCGAGAAGACCTTCACGAGGGGACTCCAAGATGCAACATAGCTTGAGCTTCTCTGGTTTTTGAATGGCTGCTAGTCTTCTCGCTTTTTCCTTTTTTCGGCCGCCCGAGACGGTTCAAGAGACCTCCAAGATCGCTCCGCGACTGCTCAAGAAGACGCCCAAGGGTCCCCAAGACGGCCCAAGACCGCCTCAGGACGGCCGAAGAGCCCCCCAAGACGTCCCGAGATGCCCCAAAGAGGCCCCCTAAGAGGGGGCTGGGCTCTGGGAGCCCTCCCCCCCGAGACGGCCCCCAAGACCCCCAACATTGACGAGCGAACAACTCACTCCCATACCCATAGGAGGGTCGAAAGGAGGGGAACTGGCTATGGGTATGGGTGCGAGTTGTCGGACCCTGGGGGAAGCTCCCGTTCGAGCGGGGACCTCCATCCGACAGCACGCACCCATAGCCTCCTCCGTCACCCCTATGGGTATGGGTGCGTGTTGTTCGATCGTCAAACATGCCCCGAAGAATGCCCCTTAACAAGCAAGAGTCCCCGCTTAAGCCCCCAGAGGCTCCTCAGATATCCGCAGAGGTCCCGATCTTGTGATGCGCCCAGAGAGCTCCAAGACGGCCCTCCGGGGCAGTGTGGGGGCTCTTTTTTGGGGCGGGGTGGACGGCAGCGGGGTGCGGGGTGGTGTGTCAATACATGCTTACGCACATGTCATGCTTGTTCTTGTGCTTCACCATGACTACTATCTGAGTGCGGGAAAAAGATATTGATCCAACTTTAAATCGTCATCTCATGGCGAGCCTCAGTCGTGAGGCACCTTTTCGACTTGGCAGCGGAGCTGGCTACACACTTATGTGGCTGGCTCTGTTGCTTACACTTTTCCATCGCGCAGCTTGGATGGCCACTATGGACTACCATGTGCCGGCATCCTCTCTGGGAGCAGGGCCAGGAAGGAAGCTGGCGTTGGCAGCCCGGCCGCGGGTCTGCGCGCGGAAACGAGCCCCGCGCCCGACAGCGGGTCTGCGCCCGCCGCTGCGCCTGCTCCTGCGGCGATCAATACTATCAACAGGTTTTTTGGTACAAATTCCACAGCTCTACGTCATGATGTTCCGCATTATTACTGCTGTCAGCTTGGAGGCGACCTCACCTACCGCGAAAACACTGTGCAATGCACGGACACATGCCGCCGCAGCCTGCGCGACGCCTCACAGCTGAGCACAAGGTCGAGATAATCGACCACCCACAATGATCATTGGAATTTGTTCACTACCTTGAGATTGCCGGATTAAGTATCATCTTGGTGGCCCTGGGGCTGGCTGTACGTTGTCTGCAGCATGGTGCACTCGACGCTACTTGAACACGAGGGCCTAGCTGGGACCCTGCGGGGACCATACCTTGCAGGACATAAGTCCAGGAGATACGTCCAAGAGGTCCACGCGCGGCTCAATGTCACGAGGTGCCAGTTTATACCCTAACAACAAGCAGTCGCCTTACAAAGAGGCCTTGCAGGCGTGGCGCGCGATGTAGCAATGCGAATGCCCTCGCACATCACCAATTTCAGGGTAGACGTGAATGGCGTTGGGTCAGATCATGTTACTGAACTGCGTGTGCGTCTCAATCGACAAAGATGAACATTCGGAAGACGAGCGCAAGTGGCTGCCTGCAGCGTGCCTGCACGGGGACGGATCGGCGCGAGACACGCTAGATTCGAGATGGCCAGGCTTGAAGCCCAATCAGTTGGTTTCGGCTTCCCCAACGTCCAACTGCTGACCACCATCTTGTTCCGAGCTCTACACCTGGTATAAGCTTTACAACTGTTGCAGCCGTTGAACCATCAAATACCCAGCACCCAGGTGGAGTCTGACTCCTTACTGGGCCGAGAGATCCTCTGGTAACATCGATAGTGTGTGTTGGTCGAGGGCGCGGCAGCGCGTCAAATTACAAGGGTTCCAGACAGGGTAGGTCTTTCTCAGCAGTGGTGAAAACAAAGCACCTGGCAGGAACATGTGATCTGACAGCCCCGCAAAGTGCCCAGCCCTCCTCACCGGCCAGGCAACCGGCAGCCAGACAGCTGGCAGCAACGAGTGGGCGTCGAATCCAGATACCACCGCGACGCAACCTGCCGCGACCCCGTGTGGCTATATGGCCCAGCTCAGCCGACTTTACTTTTTCATTTGTGGCACAGATACCGACACACATTCGCCCGGCGGCTTGGAACCGATTGGCCAGTCATACATACATACCAATACACCTTACAGGTCAGCACAAGGTTGAATTTGCGTATTTTGCTCTGCGTCATGAATAGAGGAGGTGATAGAGGTCATCAGACAAAAGTGCGACGTGCGCGTGTAAATCTACGACCTACGCTGCAAATGGAGGGGCGCAGCAAGGGCAACGATCGGGGGGGGGGGGGAGACTGCGCGACAAGGGCACTGCCTCATTCACATCGTCCCTTTACAACAAATGCTGCGGTAAATTCCACGGAGGAAATGGCACGAATCGGTGTCGTCGCACGATTGGTACAAAGGGGGGGGAAGACTGATCCCCATTGGTAACGATGGCCGTCGCATCTTGTGCAATATCTCAGGTTCCAAAAACATTCTGTTTCGCAGCGCAGCAGAGGGGTAAGTAGGGGAGATGGGGGCTGCTGCTCATTCGAGTTCCTGCCGCGTATACTGCGACGTCTACGACCAGTTCTTACACGTCACAGTGAGCCGCTACGTCATGCATTGATGTTTACTTACGTTGTGCTTTCGATGAAGTCGAGGACTGCGCGTGGAGACCTTTATGGTGCGATGGTGCCGTACTTTCGGGTGCCAATCGCCTTCGAACTATGGTCAGGCTTCGATGGCCGGCCCGGCGAGCTCGGGAAAGAGTTGGAGCTCGGCGACGTGCTTGAGAACAGTGGTCACATCGTGTCTGGCATCCATGAGGGGAATTCTATTGACGCCTGCCCTTCCGAACACGCACAATGATTGGCGCTAGCACGACGGGCATCTACAGTGCCGACGATGCTGGCCGCACAGGAGGAGGTCGGCGCACTGTTCGGTGACGAGCCATTGCCGCGGGTCGCCGGCGTGCCAGCGTTCTCCGCTGAGGATTTGGGCCGACGCCGCGTCGCTGCAGGAGATTCGCGCGCCGCCGCTGGCATGGCCACCTGCTGCGTGTCGGCGCGGACGTGGTCTCCGTCCGCGTTTCCAGGGTGGGTTGGACCTCGGCCGCGACGGCGCCGAAGGCCTCGTGGCCCGGGGCGGCGGGGCGGGGGTGGGGGCGCGGACAATGCTGGGTCGCCCGGGCGCGGCGACGGTCGTCAATGTGGCTCCAATGCCTGGGCGTGGAGAGATGCAAGAGTCAGGAATGCTCGCGCTTCCTCTCGCCGCGCGGTAGATGCGGACCTTCGGCGCGCCGCTCAGCGCTGGGCCGTCGATGGCCGGGGGGGGGGGGGCGCGCCTGCCCGCCTCTCATGAAGCGTTGGTCCGGTTGCCCGATCGACGGCGCATGCGAGGGCCCCGACTTCAACGCCGCGCGTTGAAACTCGGGGCGCGGCAGTGGCACAGGAGATCGGGCAGGCCAGGTCGATGGCGCGGCGCCGCGTTCGCGGGGGGAGATGCGGTGAATTGCGACGGCTGCGGCGCTGCAGGTGCGCGATCGACCCACGTGCGATGGCGCTTTCTCAGGCGCCGCCCTCGTCGCCAGCGGCCGGCAACGACAGGGCGCCAGGTGCCGCTCGGCAGCGACCAACTAATGGGTCGATCAGATCTGAGCAACTGCAAGAGGACATCGCCGAGGGGGGGCGATCGCGCAGATCCCGAACGCAGTCGAGATCCGACCCCCCCATCCGACCGAACCATGACAACAGCGGGCTTCTTCGCGACAGCGTGGTCGGGATGCGTCGGCCAAGCGCCCAGCCACCTTCGGGAGTTGCAGCCGGGGCATCAGCTTCCGAGGTTGGCGACTAAGCGCCTCGGCCGGCGGGGCCAGCCCCGCGGCAATCCGAGGCTTCGCGACAGACGATGCCATCGCCGCGTGGATCTTGGCGCCCGACGGTCGAGGAGCCGTCGATGCAGTGCCCCCGCGCCCAGAAGACGGGCTCTGCCGACGCGCCCATGCAAGCGTT